TGAACTGCATTCAATGATATTTCCTTCCTCTATATTTCTTTATTTGAAATAAATGCTAGTACATATCTCCTTCATTTCTCCAAAGAGATGTGGTAATACTACTTTTGAAACATGTCCGACATTGTACAGTAGGAGGAATATCAATGGGGAAATACATATGAATTAGAGTAACAGAGCATGAGAAAAGCAGCAAGCAACATGCACACCAAGACTCTATGGCTACTAACAAGGAAGGGAGATTTCTTTGAAGTTTATCAAACTGCTATTGTCAAACTATTGGAACAACCTGAACTGAAATGACCTGTACTGACTACCATTCTGTTCTTGATACATCCTTACAAAATAATAAAAAATAATTCCTACAGAAGAAAAAAAAACAAACAGTGCACAGGTTTCTGTTTACCCAGTGACAACCCACTTGCACCAGGGTAAATTTAGGTTGGACATCAGGAAACTCTTCTGTACAGAAAGGGTTGTTAAGAACTGGTAGAGGCTCCCCAGGGAGGTGGTTGCATCACCATCCCTGGATGTGTTTAAAAATCATTTGGATGCGGGGGCATGATTTAGTGGAGGGTTGTTAGTTAGGGTAATATGGTTAGGTTGTGGTTGGACTCAATGACTTTCAAGGTCTTTTCCAACCTGAGTCGTTCTATGATTCTATAACACTCTCTCAGACTGCAAGAATTACTAAGTGGCTACTTCCTAGTTATTCTTCTCAACAAGATAAGCAGAATGTGGCTACAGTTTCCTAAATGCAGAAACAAACAGGGAATGTAAACATCCTTTCAAGATGACTGGTAATATTTCATAGGATTTGGCCTGAAAGAAAAAAATATATGTGAAACGATGACGATAAGTTTGCTACTATGAAATCTATCAGTTAACAGTCCTGCAGGAACAGGTGGGTTGTGTAAAATTACACTTACTCTAATATTTAGAGATTGTCCAAGAAAAGTGGTTCATACGTCAAGGGATTAGAAAATCGTTCTAAGTGTACTCAGAATTTATGATCTAGTTTCCAGACCAACCGGTCAGACTTGTCAATCGTCTCCTATTTTCCACTATTTCAATTAAAGAAGAGGTGAAGTGAAAGGAAAAAAAAATTGCAGGCACATATATGATGGTGATGACCTAAGTGTATTACTCAAGTGCTTGTGGACAGGGAAAAGTTAATTCACTGTCGACATTCATCAGTTGAAAGATATTCAGTGCTCAGATGAGGAATGCATTCACATACAATTTTAAGCACGTGCTTAGAATTCTACCTTTTAAACTAAGGAAAAATAGTAATATGGATCTTCATGTACCGCACATGCTGCTGTTGAGCAGAATGAGTTCACTGATTAAAAGGCTACCAAGACAGTGCAATTTTTTTAAAGCTTTCTAACTCTGTATCTTCTTAAAAGGAGATGCATCACGCACTGAAGTTGGTCTGCAATCAGCATTAATCTCTCTGAGTAAAGCCAGGAGTGCCAGCAGTCAGCACACAGTACTGGCCAAACTTAATGTATATAGACTCCTAAAAAGGCTGTACATAGATGTCTGACACTGAAATTATCACTCTGGTTGTCATTCAACTGTACCTTGTGAGAAACACTGCACTAAGAATCTGTTTTTATTGTCCAATATGGAACAATGGACCTTTTGGTAGCAAAATATTAGCCTGGGAATCCTAGACTGCACTCAATTTACTAATACTAAATTCAGATAAATATTGCTTCAGCTTAGATTTATTTCTACCATTATTTTAAAGCTAACAGAACTTATTTTTTAAGAGAAACTTCAACATTCAACTTTCATCTGCTTATACTCTACTTCTCCAACTTTCTATCTGCTTATATAACACATTTTCTGCACATAATGTAATGCTTACAAGTCAACCATAGCTACCAACTGTAAAACACCCAAATCTGACTACATTTTACACGTATCTGGCCAGTTTTTACGTTGATATCTAGATTTAGTTTAGTAATTCATTGTTTTTTCTTAAAATTTAGAAGTAGTCCATCCACATTAAATAATTACATTATTTATGTATACACTTTTTATTACTTTAAGTAATGACTGTTTTAGATGCCATAAATAGAACAAAATAAACATAAAAACATCCAAATGTTGGGGTTATTTGTTTTGTTGTTTTTTTTTTGTTTTGTTTCTGTTTTTAATTGCAATTCAAAGTTGATAAATAGCAGTTAAATAAGTGTTTAACTTTCATTTCAGGAAGAAAATTTCAGATCTGTTTCCAAATCTTCCAAATCTATACGTTAATACGTTAGTAACTAGACAAGCTTTTCATATCTGGCACATCTGAATTATTTCACTGACATCCATTTCTCTGCACATACAGGCAAAGATTTCTGAATAGACATCATGTGAAGATACATTAAACACTTTGATAAAACATGAATCATCACTTCTATTCAATGTGTTTGCAACTATGCAGTCCACTCTTCTCTCATTGTTCTGCACATACAAAGAAAATCATGCTATAAAATGTGGTCCTGCATTCACATTTTAGTCACATTAATTACTTGAACTCTATACACTAGTACCGTCTGTGCTTGCACCTACTTTCAATTATTTGTGCTAGAATTAAATGGAGTCACAAAGGAAACAAGGAAAAATCTCAGGACTTAACATAAATTTACTTTGTAATATAATTTTTTTAACGTACTGTGTGTTATATATACCTAGCTCCCAACTTTTTTTTAATGTCATTGTTCACAGTAGTCATAATGTTCTGAACATAAACATTGAAAAATAATAGATTCATGGCAAGATTACCACCACTATAGTGAAATTACTCATATCATTTCCTCTAGCCACTGTTAAAATGCGTATTACAATAATAGAAGCTTACTGTTAGGAAAGCACAATTTAAATGGAATTATTTAGAAAAACTTAGTGCCTTTTTCTCAAGGGCTCTTGGGGAGGGAGGCAGAAGAAGGCAGAATGAAGGCTGCTCCAAAAGTAATGCCTCCTATTTTATTTTGTTGGCCCATGACATCACAGGTGGATGTTAATGGATGGCAGGATAGGTTGAACCTTCCCACCAATATTTGATTCCATGTTGTTGCCATGTGACAGATGGCAACAGAGGGGCAGTCTGACAGAACGGTGTCTGACATGAAAATACATATGAAGCAAAAATGTGTCACTGAATTCCTCCATGCAGAAAAAATGGCATTCACTGATGCTTGCTGAGCGCTTATGGAGACCTGACAATGGATGTGAGCACAGTGAAATGCTGAGTGGGTGGTGCATTTCAGCAGCAGTGACAGTGATATGCAAGACAAGCCATATTCCCAATGGCCATGCACAGCTGTTACTTCACAAATGTAGAGTATCTTGATCAGCCTATCAACTTGAATAAAGTGGATTATGACCAGGGAACTGAATATTGGCTTCAGCGCATTGAAAGCAATGGTAGCAATATTGGAATATCACAAAATTTGTGCTAGGTGGATCCCATAAATGTTCACATGGGAACAGAAACAACACTGTAGGCAAACTTGTCAAGATCTATTGAACCAATATGAGGCTGAAGGTGACAGTTTCCTGGACTGCATTATTACCAGTGACGGGACATGGTGTCACGACTGTAAGCCAGAGTCAAAACAGCTCCATGGAATGGTGAGATGTGAATTCCCAATGTAGTAAAAGTTGAAGACGTAGCCCTCAGCAGGTAAAGGGATGTGTATTATGTTTTGGGAGAGGAAAGGAGTGGAAGCTTGCACTTGCACAGTCAGACCAATTAAGAAGACAACCTTTCTCTTGCAGAACAATAACACCAGACCCTATTCCAGTGTGAAGACTATGGAGCACATTGCTCATCTTGGCTGAACTGTCCTGCCACACCCACTGTACAGTCCAGTTTGGGCATCTTATGACTTCCATCTGTTTGGGCCAATGAATGATGGACAGCCAGGGCAACATTTTCCTTGCAATGACTCTGTCATTGCCACTGTGAAATAGTAGGGTCATCTCCACTGGTGCAGATTTGTATGAGCGCAGCATGCAGGCTCTTGTTCATTGTTAGCAAGAATGCATAGCTAACAGTGTAGACTATGCTGAAAAATAGTGTTTTGTAGCTGAGAATTTGCTCTATCAAATAGTGTTTTTGTGCACTTCTTATTTGTTATATTTTCCATGGAGGCATTACTTTCTGAGCACCCTATATGTAATATGTTCTTTATACACTATCATTGCTTACTTCTCAAATACAGTGAACAAGCTACAGTATCATTTTCCTTTTGGTATTCCCTGCAAGTGCTTTTCAAGTTCACTATTAATGTTAGTGCTTATGAGAACAACAGATGGTTAATACTGTTTGCAGCCAGGGAGGGATATTACTTAAAAACTTCACCACACAGTTTTGCCAAAAAACCTTAGCAGGGCTTTGAAACAGCCCTGCTGCTCCTTATGGAGCACTGTCCCAGACTAGGAGTCAGCTTAGTGAAACATAACACTGACTTGACTGAGTTACCATCTCCTCCCAGTTGCACTCAAGACTATTTCTTTTCTAATAATTTCTCTGCATTTTCATTCCCAAGTTTAATTTATATTATTGTCTACCTGCTTTTCCAGCCTAATCATTCTCTATTTTCGGCTTGTATTAACAATGTGTTGTCACTGTACAAGCACATAAACGTAACCACTTGCATCATGGAACTGAGTTAACAGAAATTAAACCAAAATAAGCTGTAGAAAAAAATGTAGTTCATAAATGTACTGAATAAAGTCATACACTGCTTACACGGATGTCTATCAGTCACCACCAAATCTGAATGTGAGATTTTTGGAGTAACCATGTTCACTGACTAAAACTAGAAAAAATAACTTCAGAGCACAAACCAGATTTTTTATAGTCTTTTCCATGAGACTGATTTGAAATTAGAACCTTGGATGTTCTTCTGTAAATTGCCCATGTGAATGAGCCTTGAGTTGCTTTAATCAGTGACACAAATAGGTGCTGTGTTGACAAAGTCAAGTGAACTCACCATTTGTCCATCTTTCCCAGGAACACCAGGCACTCCAACAGAACCCTGGTGGGAAAGAGATGCCAGCGTTTAGCAAATTAAACAGGCTGAAAACTTTCACCTCTTAATACAGCACCTAAAAAAGATGGTGAATGCCAGCATATTCTAAGTGCAATAAATTTTTCAAAAACTAATTTATATTCAAGTTGAGCTCTCTTTACAAGTGACTGTTTACATTAATCATACATGTTTTTGTGTTGTACGTTCTTATGCTCTTACAATGTATGTTTTAGTGACTGTCCCACTGTATAGCCTCTTTCAGAAAGGAGCCTCAAGTTGGTGGTAACTTTGTTGTGAATGCTTCATAAAACATGTAAGGATTAAAATGCAATTCCATTTAATGCTCTGGATAAATTTTGAGTTTGTTCTGACATAGCCCAACATAGTGCCTGAACAAAATCATTAATACTTCAAATGCTTTCAAGCATCTGAAATGGAGAGATGTGCTCCAAGACCAATAACTGGCAGGGTCAATCTATCTTAAAGCTTTTAAGGGATAATCTGCAATAGTTCAGCCTGATGGTGCAAATTACCAACAACCTTTTAAACTGCTTCAGTATTAGTGCATTCTGAATTTCAAAAAACAACAAAACACGGACCAAAAACAAGGAGTAGACAAAGAAGCAGCAACTCATAATGTAAGAGAAGTCTTTTTAAAAACTCTCACTCTATTTTTTATGATGGGCAATTTTGTTTGAAGAATCTTATCTGACTGTTGCTGCAGACGTCCAGCAAAAATCTCGGGCACGAGAAAAGGAGCTCGCACAACACCATCCTTTTTTTCTGTAACAGCGATGTTGCACGGCAAGGAATCTGACAGTGTATTTTTATTTTCCATTAATAAATATCTGAATGGGTTACAGATATAGCTATTTGAATGGCTGGTAACATAAAAGATTGGCTGGGAGACTGGGAAAGGCAGAGGCTGTATCAATGGTGAGACGCGCAGTTGCTCAGCGGCTGTGAAAGAAATGACTATCCTTTGAAGCCTATCGGGTCCTGAGGCCCAAAAATCAGTGCAAAGCATTTTTCCCTCTGCTTACATTGGCTGGGGGCTTCACTAGAAGCAGACACCTACACCCAAAGGAAATACACCCAAAATGGATGCATGTTTACCAATTAATAGAGTTGAGGAAATAATGGATGGAAAAATCCTGTGAAACAAAAAAAAGGGAAAAAAAAAAAGCTTATGAGTGCTTCAAAAAATATCCAACACTTAAGTGCCCAGCAGTCTCAAGCTCACAGCAGAGCTCTAAGCCAGTAATAAATAATACACTGACATCTCAGCTCGTGACCATTACCCTGAATGCTTTCTCCTTATTCCCAAAGCTTTCACTTTGGCATTCTGGTGCCCCTATATGCTGGATACATGGTCATGAATGCTAGCCACTGCAAATGGCTAATACAAATTCTAGTGAACTTTTCTGTTCATTCTGTAAACATTTTTTGTTTAATTCTTCCAGAAACTTGTAAGAAAAGGCTCAGGAGGGCATTATGACATCCGTCTGATCTCCTTGTAACAGTTAATCTTCCCAGGGACAGTCTCATACAGCTGCTGACTTTTCTTATGAAACATGAGATATCAGAAAGTTTAAATAAAATGGATTCTACCATACCCTTAACCAATAAATGTTTATCATAAATTGAAAAGCTCACCAGAACATGTTGTGGGTTGTTTGTTTTTTTTTTTTTTTTTTTTTAATGTTGTACATATAAAGTATCCCACTCTGCTATTTCCTGTAATGTCAATTTCAGAATCAGATGAGCTGATGAGCTTTACAATGTTACATTCTTGCATTGCTAAACATGAAGGGTAACCTTCTCCCTCAGCTTGTAAACTGTACAGCTCACAGCTGACAAAATCCCATGGATTTACATGCTCTGGGATTACATTTTTACATATCAGGAGGCTTTTGTTTCTTCAAGAAGTTCAATTTTAACAGATTCAACCAAACCTTCACTTTAAATAATATTTTAAAAGAAGAAAAAGAGGTGACAGCTTTGCCACATACATAAGTACTACTTATTTCTTTCCCTTCTTTTTTCTTTATACAAATTAAGCCTGCTCTAATTAGATATCTTCCAATAACACTTATCTTTTGAAATCAGTCTCAAAATGACCTGCCTTGGTGGTGTGTGGGTGAGATGCTGGAATGGTGCCACTTACTAGCTGCTATTGCTGATATACCTAGGACTGTTTTAATGGTGCAGTACCATAAATCCAAAGCTCACTCCATCAGACTGAGGCAGTCAGCTTTAATGAGTGCAAATAACGCTGAAAGCTTCCATAGGAAGCTTTCATAGGAAGTCAGATCTCCGATTACCAAAGGAACAGGAAGACAACAGCAAACCACCTGAATACAGCCAACTAAGAACCATTTATCAGCAACACCTATACCCTTTGTTTCTGTTGGTCAATTTTTTAGTCATATGGCATTGATCTACTTGAGAAAGGACATGCATTCAATCAGAAATTCTATCCCTCCATCTTTCACAATGTTTCACCTTTGGTTTCATAGCTGTGCCAATACATGAATACGAAAATTATAGCAACCTTTTCACCTGAAAGTTAAGCAGACAGATTAAAAACATTCTGCCCTGCATTGCTTGAACTTCCTATGATAAGGAAAATGAGAAATCTTATGTCTAACATTATATGACTACATTTTACAAAAACAAAATACCACGAAATAGCATCTAAATTAACAGATTCAAGGTGGTGTGCAATAGCTAATTCCATTCACCTTTTCTACTTACAGTTTGGAACCAGAAGCTATAACGGTATTGTTGTTTATACTATACCTTTTGTCCTGGAGGCCCTTGAGGTCCCTGTAAAGAGAAAGAAAATGTAATTACTCTAGCCAATTTAAACTTCAGTGCCCAATTAAAACCGTTCCATTGTGTAAGTATTCAGATACTGGAATGAAACCAGTAGAAATTTTCTGCATCGACAAAAAGTAAAATGTTCTACAGAAAACGCAAATGGATCTTTTCTCTTTTGGAACAGATTTTACTTCTAAGTAGAAGATTCAAACTTCCCCCTTTCCCAACATCTTCTCTTCCATTCCATCTATTTCTTCAAATACTGACAAATCTGTCAGCATTAAAAAGACTGTAGTTTTTCTTCTTCTTCTGATCTAACAATCAGTTGTGGTCCACAATAATTTTTCTGCTCGGCAGTAAGTTTTCCACAAAAACTTGGCTTATGCTACTAAGTTTTTACTCTATTTTTAAATAGAGAAGCATTAGCCTCTCTATAGTTTCTAGATCATTAAAGGTATTGAAATTTATTTCTATAGCTTAACCAACATGTGACCTGTGCCATCAGCCACAAGTAAAAAAAAAAAAAAAAAAACTTTCAAAAATCCTTAAGAATTCTCTTGGAAGTAAAGAAGAACCATTGTATCCTTATGATCTGAGAATGCAGGAATACCTAAATCCAGGAAAGGTTAGCTGCTTAATGTCTTACAAGAGTGAATTTCGTTGATATTAGTTGGACCCATTTCTCAACTGGTATCTCTGAAGCACCCAATTCATTTGTGGCCAAAAAGGGAGGCATCAGGGAAACAGAACAGCAAAACATGTATATGACATCATGTCAGTCTGTTTTGATTAAATCAGACCACATTCAGTATGGTCATCTACTCTTTTCCACATGTTCCCACAGGAGGTGCTCATGAAGTTTGTGTGTGCTGAAGCAAACTTAAGAGAGATTAATTCTGACTGTGTCAAGTTGAAAAACAAAAAGCCAGAATGGGAGAATTCAGCTTGTTTTGATGTTTGAAAAGATAGAAGAAGAATTGATGTCAGAACAGGAATTATTCAGGATTTCACCTTGAACAACAGGATTGCTGCTTCAAAATGGCAAATTTTGTATTTAAGATAGGGTGAATATAGGTTAAAACTCCCTTTTTTTTTGGTAGATCCAGGTGGTGTTGGAATGTTGTCCTGATGCAACATTAAACTGGTAACACAGAAAAGCTCCACTGCTTGTAACTGCTGGTACTGGATTCACTGTCTTAGAAAAACGAGGATCTTGCAAGCATCTCCCTTTTTCAAAGGGACAGATTTTGCAAATAGAAAACCATCTGCGATATACAGAATGACAGACTAACTTTCTTTTCTTTAAAAGGATGTGAAAATAACCAAACACTCAGATCTGATGATAATTAGAGTGATAATTAGTGAATAGAGTGATCACCTGCTTTTTCTGACTGGAGAAAAATCCCACCAGCCCACTGCATTTCCGTAAACTGCTATTTAAATCTCTTTTTTCAGTATGTACCTGAATTCTAACTCTAAGATATATCCAAGGATGAGGGCACCTGTAATAGTGATTATGGCAAATGAACAGCCTATTACCTGAGCACCACTTGTAAGCAGTCTCCAAGAACACTGGAGACAGGGAAGAAGAAAAATAAATGAAAAAAGTCAATAGGATGTTGCTAGGTGAGAGTGGCCTACTGGGGAAGGAACCGAACCGTGAATATAACATATTCCATTTAAACAGAATTTTTCCCTTTGTTCTAGAAAATGAAGAAAGTTTCTTTCAGTGCCTCACAGCATGGCAAGTGATGAGCCAGGAATCTTCCCTTTTGCCAAGAAAAATACAGGTTTGGCTATCATCTTAAAAACTCCAAGAAATTCATGTTCAGTCTACAGTTTACCCATATCACCGTTACCAAAGTAAGCTCCAAATATCCAGTCCCTGGGCATCATTTTTCTTTTGACTTTTATTAAGCAGTTCTACTACGTTAGCTTCCATCAATAGGCCAGAACAACTGAAGACTACTTCATATTTCATATCTGTTTCTTTTATGTGCATGGAATAAGTGCTTACTCTTCAGTTTCCAAATACATAAGAAGCTAAACATAATCTTTTGGAAACACTCAGCTAAACCAAAACACCATTTGGAAACCTTCAAAACAAAGCTACTATCTGAAGGTGAAATTGCTACTCAGTTATTAGGAACATCCCCCAAAGTAAACTGTGAAATGTGTTGCTCATCTGAGTACTTCTGCGCTTAGAGTCTGCAGCTGTCAACTTGTGGGATGGATTTGATTCAAGGTATTGCAAATGTCTCCAGAAAAATCTCCTTCCCTAGAATTTTCCCTTCAATGCTGCTACCATTCCAGCTCTTCCAGAGGACTTACTGAATAAGAAAGTATTTTCATAGAAGAAAAATCTTGCCTTCATTGCATTTTTAGAATGGATGATTCAGAGAAGAGCATTAGGCACTAATCATCAGTTATTTTAAACAATGAGTAGTTTTCCATTTCTGGTACTTAAACTTCACTCAGACTGGAAGTTACTTTCATGTCTCATGACCTCTGAGCTATTACACCACCTGATGACCAGCACAGTCCTCAAAAATACAACTACCTTCAGCAAGCTAATTGCAATTAAAAGCTTAAAATGACACATTTTACAATTTACACACAAGAGTTTCTTATTCTGTATGTACTCAGAATGTAAAATAATTATATAGAATTGATAACTGCTAGAGAATCCAAGTAGAAAATGGGAAATGCAATATGATCATGTAGGGTTTTTTTTCCTTAGCATTTAGCAATTAGCAATTGATCAGAGGAGAGCACTATATATATGAAAAATCATGTCATCGATTTGTTTGAAATCATTAATTAGAATCTTTGAAAATTACCTTTGTTTCATACATGCACTGAGAAACTTCAGTTGAGCTGGCTGTAAATTTTGGTCAAGAGAGTTGCCCAGAACAGGAAAATAACTAAAAATAATAAAAACCATTTTAAATCTCTATTATTTCAGATATCCTGATCACTTCCTAAAGCCATTTTCTACCTTGTGTAACTGATAAACTACCTATACAGATATCACAAGCAATAGCATGGGTTTACTGAAGTAGATTCTCAAGTTAATTCCTCAGTTGGAGAGTAGAAAAAGAAATGGCATCGCTCCCAAGAAATTCAATAACTATTCATGTGTCTCTGGGGATGGAGCATTGTCTGATATGTACCTAAGTACTTGGAAAAATTGGGCATCCAAGGATAAAAAGAAGTTTTTAAGTGTTCTACGAAAGAAATGAATTTTCACAATGAATGCCATTCTTCAGCCACTATTCTCAAGGGATCTACAGAGCTTCTTTCATATCAAATGTTAGCATTACAGAAATGATCAAATGAAGTTACAGCTGGATACGCTCAGGTGCCTTCACTAACAACTACTCAAAATTAAAAAAAAAAAAAAAAAAAGGAAAAACAGCGGAAAAAGTTGCCACAAATGTAGTCAGAGCAAATTCACTGAGTCCAGAACTCTTTCTAGACATCCGTTTATATGTTATGTTTTCCTTTTAAAGTTACTTTGCTGCTTGTGCTTTAGCAAACTGCAAAATAAGAAATATTCTGCCCTGCAAGTGTTAAAGCTGCGGTTCAAAGACACAGTAATTCAGGGTGTGATACCTCACAAACAGCCTCCCTATGTGTTTTAATTTTCAACTTCAAGTGGCTCAGTTGTTAAATATTTAAATAAATATATGACATAGAAAGCTTGGAGCATTTTCCATTTGCAGGTCTGTGCCAGATGTAATGATTTGTTCTGTGAGGTGTTAGATGTCAAGGACAGCAAGCATGAACACCAAATGAAAATGCCTAACAAAAATATAATGAGAAAATCAAAGTTTTGGTGTACTGAAAAAATTATAAACCAAAATACATCACAATAGAGCAATACATTCATACTGAAACTCTTATTCCAATGCTTGGTAAAAAACAAAGAAAAACAAACAAACAAAAAAAACACCCCCCAAAAAAAACCAAAAAAAAAACCCAAACCTTTTTTTTTTTTTTTTTTTTTTTTTTTTTTAAGCTTTCATACTACCTTTCTAAAGTAAAAACTCCTTGTAATAGAAGGCCTTTATAAGATCTGTACCTACATTTTTATAGGACAAAGGAGCTACCAAAACTATACCTGAGAATGCATATTTCCTCTTTGGTACTATAGGAATCATGAAACACTTCCTTATTTCCACAAAGCTGAGAAAGAAGAAGAATTTAGGAAGGGAACTTAAAGTAACAAATGTACATGCAGAGGAAAACCACAGGTTTCGTACACAGCATGCATCTGCCTTTCCGAGGAGCCTCCGTATTGCCCGCTGACCCCATTTGCTGTGTGGAACAAGGCATATAAATTAATTCTGAAAGTGTGTTCTCGCATGGTTGAGGAGTGTTTCATAAAGATTGTGATGACTGGAGTACTACTATCAAAGCATATAATGCTTTAGCATTCATGAATTGCCTGAATTTAAAAAAGACTGGCTAAGAAAACAGATCAACTATAATGGAAATTCATATAAATTCTCATTAAGCAGTGGTCCCATATGCTACCTTAATTGATTAAAAGTGCGGCAAAAGCTATTAATTAGTGCTCAGGCAGAAATCCTCATTGTCGTCGCCTTCTTAGTCATTGTTCTGACATCCCAGACAACTGTCACTGAAGTACTGAGATTATAAAATCCCAAAGACAATTTTCCCTAAGACTAGCTCTTATAACTTAAGGCCAATGAATCTGCATCGGGGAAAAAAATAAGTACGTGCCGTAGGAGGTGCAGGCAGAGATTCTCAATTTCAGCTGCTAGTTTTTGGTAAACTTTCACATCTAGACAGCTTGAGAACCACACTTTCTAAAATTTACTGTGAACATGTCACCAGAATGAAATAAACAAGGCTGCTGCAGAACTCTGGCCATGGAAAACAAATTCACAATTAGCAATTTCCCAGAGGAACTATGAGGATTCACACCAGCTGAGGATCTGTCCTTGGTTGTTGGCCTGAGAGGCTAAACTCAAGCCAGCAGCACTTTCCAGCCAGTTCTGGCTGATTCCCCCCCTACTCCTTCCTTTTTTGTTTTTTTAAACCTCAGATGAAAAATATATATTAACTCATTTTAAAGATGTGAGGTTTTATAGATTTGACTGCAAAGTTATGCTCTTTCACCAACTTTCAAGTATATGACAGTATCCTTTGGAAGAAAGTTCTCCCTATACTGAATAGCTAGTAAGACCACTAAGTCTTTTTTTTTTTTTTTTTTTTTCTTGAACTCATGCCCAGCAAGTATGTAAAAGCACAAAGCTGCTACTCTGGAAAACAATACATCTTAAGTAGAGGGATTCTGCATTTGAGTTAATCATTAAAGGATAGATTTCTTTTGCAAAGAGATATCTTTACCTGAATTCTTTGCTTGTTCTAGACATTCTGTTCATGCAAAACATCTGTAAAATTACTTATGTATCTTTAAAGCCAGTTTCTGGAGAAAAAAAATATATATTTTATTCAGAGACAAAAAGCAGTTGACTCGTACACTGAACACAGTTCAACTGACTAATTTTCCAAGGAGCTGAAAAGATGGCAAATTTTGATCCTCCAGAATCCTATGGCTATGCACTGGTTTAGAATAGTTCTAAATTAAAAGCACCAAGAGCGTTTTGGAAACAAAAACAAAAAGCAACATCAAAAAGTTACCATATGGAAATTAGAAATAAAAATAGCCATGCACACCTTCTGTTCTATTGCAATATGTGAATCTGAATCTGTGATATCAGTGTCAGCGTTTCAGGTTTCCTGTCATTGACTACACTTATAATAAAATCACCAGCACTCTGAAACCAGAAATCCTAGCTTCTACCTACAGAAGAACCACAAACACTTTTATGATCCATTCTGAAAATAGGAAGATAAAGAAAAAAAGCCTCACGTGGTACCAGGAAGACATGGCAAATGACATGGGAAGGAAAATGTGTTATAGGAGGCAAGACACAACTTTACCAAAAAGGATGAAAAGCTAAGGAAACTCCACCAGTCTTCCCTCTGGCATAGAAGACTTTTTTTAGATCCACATAACATTTCAAAACTTCAAACCCTTAGCACCACACCTCACTGCTTGGCCTTCACGTGACTCCATTCTGCACAGAGGAGCAATACCTTCTACTCTGGCAGAAAGTAGACCTCAAGGGCTTTCTAGAGTCCTGGAAACTAGAAAAAAAAAATAAAAAAAGTAACTAACTAGGCACTCTTACACTCTCTTCTGACATTAAAGATATATACACTCAATTCTTCTTAACTTAAAACTAACTTTGCTCACTACTCAGCCCTAAAAGTAAACAGATTGTTCCTAGCATAAAAACAAAGTGACAGAAGACCTTGCAAACAGCAAGACCCCACATCTCAACCATGAGAACAACAGAAGGTGACTGGATGCTGATAACATGGGAATATTTTCAGCAAGGGAATAAGACACTTGCATAAGCAACAGTGGGTTTTCCCAACCCTCTCTTCCTATCACCTTGAAGTAAGCCACTGTAGCAGAAATGCTAAGTCACAACCTGAACCAGTGATTGAACACCTTGGGGGAAGGCAGGGTCAACCCAGGGGCGCTCAGGTGTATACAATGTACCTGAGGGTCCAGAAAGTGTGGGGCCAGGATCCACCCCTTCCCAGACCTCATTAAAGTGCTGGCAGAGGAGGTGAGAGTGTCTGTCTGGAGATCCCTTTGCACCTCAGGCTTCTGAAAGTAGGCAGCTGCTTTTCTTTATTTCTGTGCTCGTAGCTGTTGCATTTGAGCAGATCTTCACTTACCGCACCCTAGGACTTTGCTGCTCTGCTGTCATTGCTGTGCTTTCCATTGTGTTACACCCACTTAATTTCTGAAATAAAGAAAAGCCATTCCCTTTCTTCAGAGAAAATTGCACAAATTGCCCTGTGCTATAAAGATGAGTTCTCTTACGGCAAAGCTGAACTCAAACAAGAGATCTCATTGTCATTTTCTCTGTCTGGTCCAAGCAAACCTCCCCTGCCTGAGGGGGAAAAAGTCCTGAATTGTTACTACTGCTTTCTCTCCCACATCTAAAACATGGTTATTATTACTTTTTTTCTTTATTGACACAGAACTTCAATAAAATTTGAGGAGAATATGGCAGCAGAGTCTTGGTGCAAGTTGTTGTGCTAGTACTAGTGCTCCTGATTTCCTATTTGACTGAGCAACAAGAACATGGATGTTCCTGGAACTCCAAATGCATTAAAATGATTTCAACTTTTTGAGAATCAAGTCACATGTTGCTTGAGTAGGTCACAAGCTACTCAAGACGTGTAATAGGTTTGTGTTACATTCTGAGACGCAATCTGGAAAACATGCTGCTATCTCATTATCTACCATCTTTTGCTCTTCAAGGGTCTTATTCCATTCCTTCTAAAAAGATAAGACAGAAAGCTAAGTAATTTCAAGCTGTGTCAAGTTTTTCCATTTGAACCCTTTTCCAAGGCTAAAACTGAATTTACCAGCTCTAGTAACATTCTCTGCATTCTCCTAGAAATACTAAGGGATGTTACTGAATGTGAGCATAAATCACTTTTGACAGAGAAAAGCTTCTATCCCACTGTTATAATCTAGAGGTCAGGCCTGCAGTTCTTTGCTTGAATAGTACCAGTGCTATTTAAAACTGCTGAGACAGTGATCCTTTAGAATACAAATAGCCTTCAGTTTCCACCAACCTCAAAAAGTACATTGGAAATTTAGGGATTGTTTCAGGGCCATCGGTGTTGTCCTTGCCTGTATCTTGCCTCTATCCAGAAGAACAACCAGAGTGCACGCTCCAGTACTTGGCTTCTTACTGGAAAAGCTCTGGAAACATCAATAATCCCTAAAAGGTGGATTTCTAGGAGATTAGCACTCGTAGTACTTTTCGGAACCCATCTACCTACCAGATCCTTCTTCACACACAGAAAAAATGGAATTTAACTTGGACTTGAATAGCAGTGTGAAACAGAGACAACTCTTTACATAAGAGTTCCTGCGGAATTAACGTAGAAGTTCACAATTCACAGCTGAGATTTCTGCTGTAATTTTATTTGAAGAGATGGATGGATAACACAGGAAAAGAATTGCAGATAGGTTTGTGTTCCCTGTTTTTCTTTAGCATCACAATTCTACAGCATAACTGTTTGGAAATCAGCTACTTCTGCAGTAGTTCCTCAAATTTCAACATTGAGGTAAAGAGATATTCATGCAGAAATGTATGATGGAAGATGTCAAAGGAAACCAGACAGAATCTGTATGGATAGCTTCAGCACTTTTCACAAGGAAGACAGCCTGGAAATCTGTACTGGCGCAATGCGTATGTCAAAATAACCAAGAAAAATGAAAATAAAATGTCTCTCTGATAACCTGAACTTTTCTTGATCTACATATAGGTTAACACTCAAGCCATCATGTTGGCTTTTAGACCAGGCATTTGGAGCTGGAAACTTATGCAGTCTGGGTTTTTTTTTCTCTAGCTTACAGTTGCTGATATGATTTTTAAAATGCCCTTTTTCTCTATTTAAACACATCTGCAATTACGGACACGAAGAGTCCTGTAGCAGTTCTTTATTTCCTATGTGCAGATGACTAGAGCGGTGGGAATCTTCTGAATACCGCAAGGCTCTTTTGTTTTAAAGACCCTTGGGGATTCTGTGACCCTGATGATCTGGTCTTGAACAGAACGAAGACACTGCTGCACTAAGCGCAGTCCAGAGAGCAAATAGGAGATTACAATCAAAATAAGCAAACCAAAAAAGAAAATGCCCTTCCCAGCTATTATACATGCTATTAATAATAAGTACTCATAAACCAAAAAGAATGGAACAACAGGGAACACAAATGTGCTAAAACACTAGGTAGTACCTTTGGGAGATGAGATTTTAGCTCTGTTAAATTTTTATCTTGAAAAGAGAAGCTACAAAAAATTTAGTTTCCTGATCAATGGAGATACTTCAGAATCTCAATCTTTTCTTTCTCTGCTGAAAAACTTTCTTGGATTTTGTTAATCCAAAATGTTCTGCAAATTGTCAAGCTGAAGTATCATCACATCTGTTTAAAACTTTATAAATTCAAATAGGTAGAGTAATCTTATCTACACTGATGGCTAAGCATATAATCTTTCTCTTCAGAAGCGTTCAGAAATCAAAAGCACATGCCAAGAGCTACAATTATGTCACTTTGCATGAAAGAAAATAAGAATGACCATAAGCATTTAGGGAAATCTTAAGGGAAAAAATGTTTCACAGTTTTGGGAACATGTGACAAGCAGAAACCCCTGATGCATTATCCTGTGTCTGAAGCTGATTTACAGACAGTGGAGCTTCAATTTGCTTCCAAATGAAAAGGATTAATTAGTTTCTGATGCAACAGAAAACATGCACTCCCATATCTGAGTATTTGTAAAAAGTGCATTCATTTAGCTCCTATATTCTCCCACACATGATGAAAAGAAAACCCTCAGGAGATAATATTCTGAGAGTTTCTTTGCAGCATCTTCACTGTTATGTCAGGCAAAGGGCCAGAAAAATTGCTGAGATTTTGGCCATTTAAACAAGTAGATGGCTGCTGCACTGCTCCACAGTCTCAACGTGAAAACAGCTCAAATTCAGAGGTGGCAATAAGAGGGGCCATGAGTCAGGTACATCTGACATGGCAGTTTTTCCTCGCTGTGCCCTCTATACTTCTGCAACCCAAAAGGAAGAACTGCCCTTATATTATAGGCAACTGTATATTTCTAAAAAATTCTATTTTTTTCTTGGATTCTCTTTGCAAGCGAGACTTCAAAGACTCAATGACAAAGGAAGGCTAGGAAATACAATTATCAAGCTTTCTGGAATTCCACAGTTTAAGAAGCACATTTAAGTCTGTTAAAGTTTCTTAGCAAACTGAAAGAGTACTTACTGCCAATCCTTGTTCACCTGGCTTTCCTGGCTCACCCTAAAAAAAACCAACAAAAAGCATGAATAATTTAGAATAATTTAGCATGTCTTGAATTCAGTTCCTTGCTTAATAACAACCTCTTAAAAAATTCCATTACTCAACAGGTATGGCAGCTGACCACATATTAAATACACGCACACGTTTATATGTATATTTGCTAGAGTAATAGATCAAATCACAGACTTTAAGAGGCAAGGTACTACTTCACAATCTTTTAATGATGTAGTTCTTCAAGTAAAATTTAAACCCTGGTGTGCTGACTCTCAGCCCCTTAGTTCCAATCATAACATTCCACTTCAGCCAGTGGTGCTAAAGAACACAGATAAAGTTTTTTTCACATATGTGCTGAATCACTGTTTACATATTCCAGAATTAGTGTTCTGTGTCATCACCTCAGTCAGCAGGCATAACTTACTAATTATCATATTGCATATACCCATGAACAGTGACATTTTGAGGCTATGCAATAATTGTTTGTTTGTTAAATATTTGGATTGGTTTTCAAAATGGTATCCCTTCATTTTCCCAATTAATTCTCTTAGTGGGCACATGTCTACATGAAGCGAGGAGCTATCTTCACTTCTTCTTAAATGAATGTCTTCAACTGTCATTTGAGACAGTAAAATGGATGTCAAACCACACTGGCTATCCATGTGCTGTTGGATCAGCACAGCTGCAGGATCATCTTCATCAGATTTATCATAAAAGAAAACCTGCCAAGAACCGATGGGAACTGTTTTGATGCGACTGTTCTTGGCAACTCAACAGATTCTAAACTGCTTCTCTAGGTAAATGTGCTTTCAGATGCACAAATCTGCATCTGCAAACACACCAAAAAAACGGGGAAAGAGAAACCACGCAGGCACAGGTTTCAGACAGCAAATTATTCAAGGTTGTTGAACTTCTCAGCTTTCTTTGTAGCCTTGCTTATTTTTGTATACAACAATCTCACAGCATCACAGAAGCATCAAGATATGCCTATAAATGTTGGGAAGCATTATCTTTATGTTGAAATAATTTCAAAACTGTGTAACATTGTCTACTGTTTTATTACCAGTAAAAAAAAAAAACAAAAAACCAACAACAAAAAACAAAAAACAAAAACAACCCTGTTTTTTCCCTTGTGCTTCTTTTTTGACACTCTAAAAGTGCTGGTATCTGTGTGGCAGGAAAGCTCTTTTGGAAGGCAAGTGTGTACAGGTTCCAAGAGGTTTTTCTACTGACACCCAAATAAAGGCTTAGCAGAAGGATGCAAAATCCTCTCTCGTGCCCTTGATCTTCCTTGGTTCCTGTTAGACCTTCCGATAGGCCTAACAGCATTTCCCTCACATTTCTACCTTCAGATCTAAAGACTTTCTGTCCCAGAAACAAACATTTTCTCATCTTTAAAAAAAAACTTTAAGTGACTGGAGCAGGATACATGCTCCTGGCACGTGAGGTAAAGATAGCACAGACGGAGGTCTGTGGGCACAGATGGAGATGTTAGCACACAGACTGTTCCTCAAAACTGCTATGCAGAGGAACAGAAGCAATGATGGCTGCTGGAGATGCTCACCTGGGCCCTGTTATCTTGAGTGAGTTTCACAGGATGCACAGCAAATGTATAGGGCATGGACGAAGGCAGCGGTCAAAACATTTTCTGGAAGTTCTGGTAATAATAAGTACCTTGCTTAAAAGGAAATGAAAGCTTGCTTAAGAAAATGACTGCCATACAGTGGAGGCTGGCCATAGTAACGACTTTCAGTTGTAATGCTGCAGTGTTCCTATTTGTAATGCAGTATAACTATTATTTTGTTATTTCTCTCTTCCACACAAGCCTTTTAAAGATAGAAAGCTGGGACAAGTTTTCCTCTTGAAGCAGGACACTGAGAAGGAGCAGGATGATAACAATAGTCAGCAATCTGGTTTGATTTTTATCTGATTCTGAAGCTGTACCACAAATTGATTCTCCACAATGCTATGGGGCTTAAGATAACCACAGCTGAACGAAAAGAAACAAAAAACAAACTATAAAAAGAAACTCTCTCTCACCATCTAAAGTCAAAAATCACTACAGAACTATTATAAAATGGAATGACCTAATTGCATAAAATGCATTACTTCTGTCATGAGAAACACTATTGTTCCCTTTGCTAAGCAGCAAAAAAACCCAAGCAATCTGCAGTCAGACTGTGACCAGCAACACTAGCTGATTCTTCTAGCCTGTTGCATGTGATGTGAATTACAAAAATGGTTGCAAAACCATTAAAACTCTTGCAGTTTTAGAAATTGGTTGTGGTTTCAGTCTCACCCTCTATATCAAACCAGAAGCAACTCTGAACAGAATCAAATTTACCACATTAGAAGACTAACAAGAAATGAGCAGATAGCCAAAGTAAAGCATACAGTGAAAGCAATAGATTTTCAGTGTCACTTCACAACCTTGTGCTAGAAATTATCAGCCCAATGTTGGCTAACAGCAGGCCTCAACTAGAGTCATAGAATCATTAAGTTTGAAGATCACCAAGATCACCTCATCTAACTGAACTGTCGACCCACCACCAACATCACCAATTAACCCATGTCCCTCAGTGCTACATCACCATGTTTCATGAACATCTCCAGGGATGGTTATCATGTTACACTCTTAATACACCTAATGCATAGTCAATACAATTTCAAATGAGGCAGTCTCAAATATGGCTAGAACAGGAATTCAGGTATTTTCTTTCTTGGTTTTGCAGTGAAATTTTACGACTTTCTGTCCTGGCCTACAAAATGAACTATGCTTTCTCTCTGACAAAGTTGTTTCTTTTTCCAGAGATGTCTTCACCTTGCTAGTTCCTTATGCATCCTCTCAGCTGTGATCTTTACTTGTGACAGATGTGTTTACCAGATCTGTGCATTTGACATTTCAGCTGTCAAGTGTACTGCCTGTGATTCAGCTTCCACACTGACACTGCAGTGGGATTCACGATGAACAGAGAGATACGTTTTTCAAAAAGAAAAACATTTAAAAAAGGAGTATTAAAGAGGTCACAAACCATAGAGTCAACACTATATTCATATTTTGAAGAAAAAAAAAAAGTAAAACAAATTCTTGCATTTACCCATCTTTTTATGAAGTGTTTAATATCACATTATAAAATGCCAAAGCCCATGGGTCTGATCCTGCATCTAAAACATTAAATAATTTTCTGTATTCTGCTTATGGATCTAATGAAATACAGTGGATGAGTGGAAGAAAATTGTACTGTTAGTGTTGTGTAGAAATGGCAGAATCTCACTCCAAAATTTATCATACTTTTGGCAGCATTTAGCAGTTTATTATTCTGATTTCATAATTTGAAGCTAAGTCATTAGAAAGTGAGAAATAAAGCTAGCCTATGCAATGACATCTCACATTCAGCTTTAGCTTGAAGTCTGAGTGGGAACATTTGCTACTTGAAGAGGAGGCAGACCATTTTCGTACAGCTATTAAAACATCAGTGAACAACTCAGAAACCTTAGAATGTGTGGGAAAAAACTGCCAGGGGTGAGAGGCAAGAAACCTAGGTATTACTCTTGGCCCCGCTACGAACTTACTGCGTGTGGCAGAGGGACTTCAGGTGCACTGCGAAATTTATCTGTGGTTCAGCTTCCACATGTCTGACTTGCCAATCTTACCTCACAAACCACCTTTGACTGTTACATATTTGACAAAAATTTGGACACTAACAGACCAACTCACCGGAATGCCAGGCATCCCTCGAGGACCATCTTTCCCAGTATCTCCTGGGGGACCTCTGGGTCCTGGTGGCCCCGGAGGGCCAGGGGGTCCAGCTTGTCCTTGGTCCCCCTAGCATAACAAAAAAATAATCATGAGAAGTTTGCTTTAGAGGCATCCGCCACACGAAAATACATTTTTCCAGAAAGAACGCAAGACAAGTTTAAAGAAGCTACCGTGAGCTAAACACTGGTGTCTTTGCTCCTTAATGCAAAGACTGCACTTTGCCTTGAAGACCAACAGGTTGTACCTGTACAGAGCAAGCGGCCACAGAGTAAAAGGCTAAAATTGTAAATGGCTTGTTCTGTCACAGGACACGAACTAGAATTTGGGGTAGCTTTGCAATATTTGACTCATGCAGTTTTCCAGAGAGAGTAACCGTTTTCAATAAGCAGCTCTTCGTTTCCTGATTGGTATAATCATGACAAAGCTGAGGATTAAAAAAAAGTTGTGTGCCAGAAGTATACAGTTCGCCTGGCAACATTCCAAGCCCATCAATGTTATGTGGACAGACTTCAAATGTGAGCATGGAGAATAAGTGCTTTTCCACAGAGTCGCACAGAATTTTTCATCTGTTTTGGTGAGCTCTTTCAGAGTGATTATTAGCCAAATCCCTTAATGATTTAGACTTACTAATTTGTAAAAGACAATTTCCAAGAAAGTTGCCAGAACATGCAGCCTTTGAAAAAACACCAGAAATGGTGTTCAATTTATTTGATTTCCAGTATAGCACTGCAAGCCACTAAAAATGCTAACTGCATCTTAAATGTGGAGCATTTAGCGCAGTTACCCACAATATTTAAGCGTTAATTTCATTAACAATTTCTTAATTATAGGACTTTCAAATAAGCAACTTGCTATAAGAAGGCTTCCGATAAACAGGCACAGCAGAGAGTAAACTGAATGTAAGGAAGAACCAGATTTGAGTGAGATGAAGCACTACCTTAATGAGGCGGCGTTTAATGAGCTGCTGATCAGCAGAGAGAAACCCATGATTGATTTTAGGAAACACCATCTGATCAGGCAGGTGAGGTCAAAGGTTGAAGATCAGAGATGAGAGAATTGAAGAATAGACATCAGAGGCCCGAGAAAGAAATAAAGATATATTCATTAGATTTGTAATAGCTAAAGTTATATGAACTGGTGCTTCTGCTAGAGAGAAACTGTGCTTTTAGCGCTCTGTGAACTCATCATATACAGCGAGTTAATTGTCTAAGTCCTTTCTCCTCAGATTTCACAGGAGAATTCTTCACTTTATTTTTTTTCCATTATCTAGGCTCTGAAAAAATTCAGTATTTTTGCATTCTGTTCTCTCAGCAAAGTTTCTAGACACAAAGCACCAGTTCAACTTTCAGTCAGATTTTCTAACCAGCATATTGTGCCATGAACAATGGTGTCATTTTAATAAGGATTGGAGTTCCAGCTTGACCAGATTGCTCAATTCTTCCTGCTTAATTTGCAAACACATTTTGAAAAATCAGCACATACAGATTAAACTTCAGATATCTAACACATAACTGTTTCTTGATTCAACCACTACAGAGTTCACTGACATTTTCAATCCTCCTGTATGCCTCAGGAAAGCAGAACTACAGCAATTCTCATCTGAAAAATGAAATACTGACCAAGAAGAGCACACGGAACATGGGTGCTGCCAGGGGTAGCGCTGTATGCAGTCATGGATTTGATCCCACGCTTTGCATCAGAAATACATACACCAATACAAAGGCAAAGGGAGTTGACTTAGGTCCACCATAAGGATTCATGGCTATCTTGTAGTAAGAGTAATTTTTTTCATGTGCACTTTTATGCTGATACAGAGAGACCTGACTGAACAGATACATGTCAACCACAAACCTTGACGGTGAGGATCTGATTACTGTGCAGAGCAGCGACTGTGGGGAAGCCTGGCAGACCCTAGGGACACAGCACAACATGGTACAAAACAACACAACACAAACATCACAGAGACAATTTACTGACAGACAAACAGAACAAACACTATCTTTAGTATACCCCACATCGCCTACTGACAGGAAACAGCCTCTCTGTCATATGGGAAACAGAATTAAGTTTGCACTATAGGTGTGTGGATGTTGTTACTTCACAACAATATAAACAGATTATTAGAAGGAGCAGTTGCATAGAGATGACTCCTTAAAATTATAGTAAATTTTTGGGATTGTTTGACAGTTGTTAGGCTATCAGCCAGCTGACTGCACAGCTTCTCCATTACAACATGCTACAGCCCTTCAAGACAGCTCTGCAGAAAGCTTTGATTCTGGATTGCTGCAGAACTTGACAGCGGTGACAGGGAATTTTGAGGCACTTTGTGTAATTACCATCCTGCTCCTCACATTCTGTTTTACATACGACATTCAGCACATAAACTGATCGCACATACACAATTGTAAACACTGAACAACAATCTACTGATAGATCTGGGGGAATCCACAATGGCCAAGGTCAACATTTTCAACATATACATAAAGGCATTTTCATAACCAGGGTAATATTTGCCCATTGAGTGCTGTATGCTGCATGTGGTCTCTCATATTCTACTCTACCCACATGTGCAGAACTTGATACAAAAAAGGAAGATGTGGTAATCAGAGCCTGCTGAGAGAGCTTTGCTCTCACTTCAGCACTATTCTTGTGCTGCCTTCTAGGGTGCAAATTAGACTTCCTCATTAAGCTGAAACTTTGTAGTGTTAAGCAGGATAGTCCTAAAGAATGAAATCCCTAAGGCCTCTAGATACAGCACCCTATTTGAGGCAGAGATCCTTAAAGGTTTGTCCATGGAGATCCAGGAAACAGCTAAGACATCAGGCTGAGGCATATAGGTAAAACAGTCTGGTATGCCTAAGATCCCTATGTGCATGGACACAAGTGTCACTTCCACGGCACAGCCCTGCTGTGATGCCTCAATGTAGGTGGCTGCAGAGTTGCACCTGCAGAAGGGAAAGTTGCACATAGCTCTGGCTGCCAGACAAAGTGGCTTTCTTAAGTCCTATGTCAAGGCTCTGATGGGGCAACCCCTGTGGCCAAGGGGCAGCATGCTTTGCAGTCCAGCCAGACTCGTGGAAAGCACCAACAGGGAACAGTGGCCTGACAGCTACAACCATCTTTCATCATTACAAGTAATTGTTCTGTGCATCTCTACCTGCAATCGTATCAAAGATGTTCTGGATCACAAAGACCACAATGGTCTTCCTCCCCAGCTCCCCTAAGAAGGCAGAGTTGCATTCTGACGCACACAACATGCCTTTGCTAGTGCAACTTTATTCTTGATACACACTGGTGAAACAAGAGGAAACTGAGACTGCAAGTGAATCCCATCCAGTCAGAGGCAGTTTTACCAGCTTTCCCACTTGGTTCTGATGAACCTGACTGTGGCTAACTGCATTGCTTGATGACCTGAGATCTCCTCTTTAGAAACAAATAAAAAGAAAACAAAGCCAAAAAAGGCTAAACCACCATACATTTAAAGAAGCTCATTCCTGAGACATTGCTAAGGCTGAAATGATACACCATTTAGAAAACAGATGTATCAAGTTTGCATTTATCTTGTTATGGAATATAAGTTAAAGAAGTTATTAAATGGTACTGTGCCAGAATCTTTACATCTGTGACTCATTAGTCCTGCTGTGTACATAGTTCATTCCTCTTCAAGCTAAAGCTACAATACCCCTGTAATGGAAATGGGTACAAACAAGAAACCTACAGATCTAAAATTGGAGCAGAAAACAATAAATTTTAGATGCTTTTTTTTTCTTTTTTAATTGTAAAAGGGATAACCAGAAAATCTTTTAAGCGCTTCATTTTTACTCATTGTTGCATAATAGTTTTTATAGAACTGTATTGAGGCATATTTAGAATTTGACTTTTTTTTTTAAAGGGGGAAACTCAAAACTTATATTAGGTTTGATTCATTTCACGACGAATACAGAAAAAAACCCTGAGAATTAATTCAGGAGATTCTCTGCAAATGTTGTTTTGCTTTTTTTTTTTATTTAATAAGTGAAAAAGTTTTGAAAGTTTTGTGTAGCTCCACAAACAAACATTTATGTGGAGCACTTCCCAATCTGTGTTTTCAATGCCTCCCAACACCACAAAGACAAGTTCAAGAGTATACCAGTACTGTAGGTTTGTCAACATAAACAAACTACAAGAAAGAGAAACGATCTCCTTCAGCAACAACATCTTCTAGCATTTTCCAAAGTTGAAAAAAACTTCTTTCCATTTCCCAAAACTGATAATCTCAGAGCTAATGGCCAGAAAAATGTCAGCTTGGACCTAGATCATATTATTGTACGTAATAATAATTTCTGGAGAGATCAGAAATAGAAGAATACTGAATGGAACCCAGCAGAGAAATTATGAGTACATGGTTTATGCATGCGTGAGAGGTTTCAGAAGGCATTGCATCTTCTGGCATCCATGAAAGCTTATGTTGGCAAACAATAAGCATCAAAAAAGGCATAAAATGATCTACCCTTCCTACAAAATGAGTTCTCTTCCTTTCCTGTCACTCTGCTATAAATACCTCCTCAAACATCCCCTAGATATATGTATATATATTTTTCCTATCTAAAGTTGTTCTCAATGACAGATTCTGTGTTATTCAGTTTTCTCTTTATTTGGTTTCATTCTTGAACTGCAAATATGAACAGTTCTTGTTCTACACCCTAGGAGGCCCTCACAGAGCACAAAAGACTACAGCGATCAGTACAGACCACTGGACCACTAAATTCTGCTGACAACAGCTCAAGCTCACTCTGAACCACTAACTGGTAACCATTTCTACATTAACACATTTGTTGCAATTTTTGCCCAAATGCCAAGCAAAACACGATGCTTGGCAGAAACTAACAGGCCCGTGACCATATAATGCAGTACACTGCTTGCCCACCTGGAAATGCAGATAAAGACTGTTCATTCCCATGCAGTGGCCACTGAAAACACTGAAGAATGACAGACCCTCATACAATTGCCTGACTTTCGACTTTGGTGAAATCATTCTCCTGTAACATCCATCACAATCTTTAGAGACGTCACTCCCAATAAGAGTTCCAGATTTTTCACGCTATGTTCAACTTTGTGTGTTGGCCTACAGCAAAGTCTAGCCTATAAGGTTGTCATAGCCCTTCTGTATGACAGGTATAAGAGCAAACATCATTTTAAAGATTTACAGTAACACTGTCTACACTCCATTTTGAATTTTGCATTTGCTCAGCACAGTAAATGTCACAGTCCTCCTCAGGATTTTCCTTCTGACCTGCCAATAAACCCAAGCTGCACAAGCTTACATGTTCCTGTGAAGACATGGTAAATGAGACAGGAATTACCACCTGCTGTTCACTTGCACTTCCTAAGGTTACAGCCAGCTGCTGCTATTTCACATCAAATCACACAGGCTTCAGGCCAGAGTGGTCTTGACATCCTTTATGGCTGCTTTCCCTCCTCCCCAACACCACCTCCAATTCTAATTAATCCCTCAGACTGAGTGGCAGTCCTGCAGCTAATTATTTTACCTGCCCTGGGGAACACAATGTTTGGTATCACCCTATACAGTGCCATGGACTCTCAGCAGGAACTCTTTTATATAATCCCTTTTATCATAACCGCTGCTTTCTCCATCAGCAGCTCTGCTAAGTAAAACATTGCACCATAAGACAAGGATCCAAGATTTTTTTCATGTAGGTAATAATTCAGCAAGGAGTTATAATAGAATACATCATGTAATGATTCAGTCCTTGTATTAAAATAATAAAAGTATAATGTCCTACAAATTAGCACAAACTTTGACTAAAAACAGAGCATTGTAAAATAAGTGTTATTTTCTATAACGACCTCTATATTTTCACAGTGGACTCTGCCTAACACTATGCTCAGAAAGGACAAAACTGGATAAAGCTAGCACTTGGCTATTTTAGTTCTATTATTAGATGAATTTTGAGTGAGATAAACATCTTCTCCACACAACTCAGGAGTTCTGATGACTATCAGAATCAT